CAAGTGAGGGACATATTTCCTTTACAAATACTGTTATACGATGGACTCCACCTTTGGAGGGAGTTATCAAAGTGAATGTTGATGGTGCCTTTGTTGCGGAGCGCCGATTGTCTACAATTTGAGTTGTTGCTCGTGATAAGTGTGGACATGTTTGTGGTGGTTTGGCCCAATCTTCTGTTGGATGTTTTGATGCGGATTTTGCGGAACTATCTGCTTTACTCGCTGGTCTTAGAATGGCTTGTGATATGAGATGGTACGATATTCAGTTTGAAATTGATTCCTTGATGTTTGTCCATAAGATTACACGAACTTATACAGATATTTCCACCCTCGGGATGTATGTTCAAGAGGCTCGTACTATTTTTCAGGATCATCCTCATTTTTGTATCTTGTATACTCCTAGAGAGTGTAATCAGGTTGCTCATGCATTAGCCAGTTGGACTTTAAATTCGAGTGGTTCTTTGTTTTTTGAGTCGGTTTGTCCCGACATCATTGTTCAAAATGTTAAAAACGATGTCATTGATCTTTGATTAATATAATTTGGGCACTCTTTTCCCCTTGCTAGGTTTAGAAGGAATTTTTAATGAGACCCATATGTTTCATTAAAAAAACAAATAGAATAAAAAAAATACTATATAAATCTTTCACCTAACCCACCTTTACATTTATAATATATATATATATATATATATATCAAATAATCTACCACTAGATCCATATTTTACCAGTTAAACAAAGATAAAACATAGCTGTAGACTCGACCCTACTAGCTGTTTTCTGAGTTTCAGAAATGACCACGACCACCATGCACACTAATATCTATCTTTTCACCGTCTAACATTCTACTTTTTATGTCTACTTTGGGTGTTATTCGTATGGATTATAAACCCTATATCAACCGTCTGGTTACCTTGATGATTACCATGTTAAACACCTCGTACAAGCAAAGTTTGACTGAGAAATCAGTACATCAGTGAAGATTAAGGTGATGATGGTTGGTGCAGTCATCAAACACGAAAATAGTTAAAAGATATCCCAAAAGAAAATAATAAAGAAAAACCACTTAGATTGTACTGTCTACTCTAATCAAGGCGACGACTGCTGACAGATTGATCAGAGTCCACTAAGGTCAAATTAACTTTGGTGGCGTCGGGAAAATAACTCAGCGAGGGCAGTGACATTCTACAGTACAGGCAGCTCCCGCGAATTAATGGGTTCTCATCTCTTTTTCTGCATGTCATTTTTTTTTTCTTTGGCTCATTGTTTCTTTTTTTTTTCCGGCGAATTAAATTAGGCAAAGTTTGACGAAATAGAAGAGGCCAAAAAAAATGCTCTATAATCTATCTTCTTTACAGCGAATCGTTCGACTGCACAACAGAGTGACAAAGGGAGACGACGATACTAGCTCCACATTTCGATGCCCTTACAGCCTTCGAAATTTGTGTGACAGACAGAAAACGAGAAGAAAAAAAACAACACGTAAATGTCAAATCCTGCCCCACTCTTCCATTATTTTATAATTATCATTATCTGATTATGTATTTTTTACCAACACCACCTGCCTGCCTTGACTTATTCCTTCACCCATATCTCCACATAAAATGTTCACGTGCTCTTCTCTCCCTTACTCTATTTTTTTTATTCATCTCATCTAACACTTACAGTTATGGGTAAAGTACACAAATAATATCTAATTATATGGTGTTAATTTATTGAGTTTGTCTACTAAAATGTATAAATTTTTTCAATGTTTTGTTGAGTCTCATATCAATTAAAAATTATAAAATGGACACTCGATTATTCATATTTTCTAAATTCATCATTTTTGTTAAAAAATTGATAATAGTGTAAGTTAGACATTAACATGCTGTCTGGGATGTGATAAAAATTATATTTTAAATATTTCTATTGACATATTTGTTGCTTTCAAGCACTAGCTCGACGACATAATGTAAACAGAGACTCGATCCACAAAATACAACTCAAACATTCTGAGATCAGATTTTATCATATTTCAGTTAACATGTTAAAGTCCACCTCAGAAAATCGTCAATATTTTAACGAAAAAAACGAGTTTGGAATATATGGATGGTCATGTGACTATATTATAATGTTTAATAGTCATGAGACTCAACAAAGCAATATCTTATGAGCATGAGACTATTTTATAACTTTCAATAATATACGGACTCATCAAAGCAATACCTTATAGTTGGGGGACAATTTGTGTATTTTATCCTATAATTATCTAGTTTAGGGGCTAGGACCAACTTTCCAAACTACCAGTTGGATCCATGAGTGCCAGCCGCAGAAATGTTTATGGCCCAAAAAGAAACACGGCAGAATTTGGGCAGAATTTGGGCCAGATGTAGTCATTCCGAAATGTTGAATGCCTATAGAATTTGCCATGGTGTGCATGCGATGTCATCATCATCATAGGAAGGGCAGACAAATCAACAGTTGTAATAATACTTATCAACGAATCATTGTAACATTGACAACTTATGACCATGTCATCTTCGATTCACTTGTTCCTCCTCCGTTCAACTTCCCAGAACTCAAAGCGACACAACTCCTTGAATATGACTCTAATGCAATCCTTTTCTCTCATCCCTCCCCATCTCCTGCCTTGTGGCTACCAACATAACCTAAAAAACACTAAATTTTCATATGTTGCATCTTATTAGGTCCCATCCCACTCGTTTTCTGCCATCTTGCCTCGGCTGCTGTCTTTGGTGGACCTTTAGTTCTTGCAAATGTGGCAATAAGTGCTGCCTTCTTTGAAGTTGGCTACAATCTCGTTTTCTCCAAATCGATTATTGCATGTAGAATACATCGTATGTTCATTTTTATTTCTCTTTATTTCGTCGTCATTTTATGTTCTCCGAAAATAATGATGCTATATATATTCCATTTTTTTATTTAAGTGCACAAATATAAAAACTGTGTTAACTTTAGGGAGACTTGAGACTTTCTTTTTACAATTATACCGATCAAGACAAAATCGTTTATAAGACAATGATTTTTATCATAACATAATAAATTTATTTTAATTTCTTACAAAAATCCTTTTACTATTGTCATTACTAATATTTTATTTTGAATCAATAATATTTCTAACAACTTTATCAGGGTTGAAAGCTAGGAAAAATATCATCAAAAAGTATTTTTAATCACGATATTAATTTAAATTTTCAAGAGAATAAATTATAAATTTATTATTCAATTCAAGTTTCAAAATATAATTATAATGTCATATTAATCTAAAATTTTCAGAAAATCGAAAGGAGTTAAAATAAAATTTTTACCATTCGAGGAGGGCGTTATTCCTACTTATCCCTTGACTATGGGTTCCTCATAAATTCACAACAGATCATATACTTTTCAATTTACCCATATATGATACCAAGTTATTTTCTTTGTTGCCTTTTAATATATTATTAACTCAACTTCCATACGACAAACTTAAAAGCTGAGTCAGCTCTATCTGTGCAAGACACATCAACACGATGAACATCCCCTCTTGAACTAGTTTTTGATATGCCCAAACTGGTCCGTTGTCTTAATCTTTCACATACGGAATAGAATGCTACTGTTGATGCAATCATAGTCTCGCCTAATGCAAACAAAACTTTATTTCACTATCAAAACACAGTCTTAATCATCGTGTTTACCACTCTAATCCCCCTCTTAATTTATATTATCTACTACTTTAGGATACTTAATTAATATAACTTCATTAAAGAGGTTAAGCTTTTTCTAAAGAATGGTTGGATTTCGATAAGGGAAAAGGCCTACGTAAAGCATGTGATAAACCAGGAAGCGAGGGCTCAGGCATCCAATCCTAACCATCCTATTGTTGCCACATTCAACAACTTGAGAGCAAGATATTGTTTGCAAGCCAAAACCTAGACCAAGTTTCAAGGAAAATAACTATGAACACTCGCCATTAATAACATTGGTATTGGTGTGTAAAATTTTATATTAAGAAATGAATTTAAAAAAAAAATTAAATTATGAACATAAAATAAATAAATATTTAAAATTTAAACGAAAACGATTACCCTATTAATTCCTCGCGATCTATCCCTAATTATATAAAAGAAATATATATCTACGTGGCAAGCAGACGGAGAGACGTAGGAAAAAGCCAAGTGAGACAGACACCTGTAGTTTAAAAAAGCTCTGTCCCCGCACTAAGTCCCTAAATTGAAACAAAAGCTGGACACGTGTCTGATTAAATTAACCCAAGCTTTTTCAAACCACAAATTTCTGGACACATCAGCTCAAACGTTCGGACAAGAAAGAATGACTACGTCACAGGTTTTGACCGGCTGGAGGTGCCAGGTGGTAAACAACTATTGGCTTAGGCGGTGACACTTGGAAGATATTGTCCGCAGGTCGGAGAAGAATATTTCCGTATTAGGGATGGAATTTTTATCCATTCTATAATACAATCTCTGTTTATTATTACTTTTATTTGAACTTAGAATTAAGTATGGAAATGATAATTAATTTACTTAATTTGATCCAGAAAAGAAATTGGTTATTTTTAACAAGGCAAAGGAGGAAAGGCTTTGTAGTTTGTCACTTATGAGATTCACACAGAATTTGGGATATATCTATAATGATTCAACTATATTATATAAAAATTATTAATTTTATATAAAAATATAATTATTAAATGAATATATAAATACGATTGAGATTGAAATTATATTTATAAGTGTATTAGTATTTTTTTTGGAAATTAAAAAGTAAAAATATGACATCAATACACATAATTTTAATCTCTATTATTTATACATATTTGTTTAATAATTAAATATTTGAGTAAGAAAATAATTTTATATGGTGTAGTAATTAAATACTATATATATGAGGGTAGCTAGCAGCACCCAGAAAATCCAATCGGACCCCAAATCAAGACAAATTGCATATGGGGGCTTTAAATGCTATCTAGAAATTAACATGCCCTTTTCCACCTTTGTTTATTCTTATTAGTAATAGAAGCTGTAATAATTACACATGAACAACCAAAGATTTCCTTCAGATTATAGTAGCCAGGAGATTATGGAAGATCACCCTTTTTGCACCATGACTGAAGTTACAACGACAACCAAAAGGAAGCAGAAGAAGAACAAGAGAAGGTTCAGCGACGACCAAATCCGATCCTTGGAATCGATATTCGAATCGGAATCCCGGCTCGATCCTCCGAAGAAGGTTCAGGTGGCTAAAGACTTGGGATTGCAGCAACGACAGGTTGCAATATGGTTCCAGAACAAGAGAGCCAGGCGGAAATCAAAGCAGCTCGAACGCGACTACAACAACCTACTACAGAATTACAACAATCTAGATTCCTTGTTCGAAGGCCTAAAGAAAGAAAAACAGGATTTACTTTCTCAGGTAACTTACAATTCCAAAGAAACCAATGGAGTTATTTTCTTTTAATAAAGACACTGGTCAAGTTACTTTTTTAATTAACAGTTGCAGAAGCTCAAGGATTTGCGTAAGAAGCCGAAAGAGGAAAAACAATGTTGTGGACAAGTAAATAGTTACGAGGGAGATGCAGTGAAGTCCGAGTCTGAAGAGCAGCGGAGTTTTTCAATGGAAAGATCGGAACATGCACTTGAAGTGTTGTCGGATGACGATAGTGCCATAATGACGGGTTACTTTAGACTAGAAGAAGAGCCTCAACTTATAAGCATGGTGGAACCAGCTGCTGGTGCTTTAACATCTCCGGATGATTGGCAAAGTTTTGAATCCGATGCTCTCTTTGATCAGTCCGGTTGTGGGTATCAGTGGTGGGATTTTTGGTCTTGAACAAATGAAATAATGAAGAAAAAATTTGAATGTAAATAATCTTCTAAGGTGTTGGGGAAATGTAGCAAGCAGGGGACATAGGATAGGGGAAATATTATGTATCAGTTAATCTAGAGAAAGAAAAATCAGATTTTAGGGTCTGAGACTTTCATCCATTTCTTCTATATGCTGAAACAGGGACACATGCCATTTTCAATACTCATTCAAGTAGAGTTTTGCTTAAAAATGACATCTTAATTTGCAAAAATTAATATAAAATTAAGAGATACACAGGGAGCAAATAGAATTGATGAAAACAAAAGAAGAAGAAAATCTTTACCTGAAAATCCAGATTTTTCCCCACATAATGTCTTTGTCAGGAGTATCATGTAATGTTGCAGGATTCTCCAGGAATTATCCAGAGAAATGTAGGCCTTATAGTACCTCAATAAAACAACATGTGACCAAATGGGAAAACAACCAGTATCCTTAAGAACATTCAGGTTTCAGCATTCATGACAAAGGATCTAATTGAGAGCAAAGCAGAATCCCCTTCCATGGCATAGTTTGATGTGCTTTCTTTAACAATTAAGGTATCTTTCATGTTATTTTTAGGGTCCGTGAAGACTATCGTTTTGAGGTCTTGATTGTCTTTAACAAAAATGGTATCTCTAAAATTTGAATTTGAACCCTCTTCTTAGAATTGTGATAAAAACTTAATGGTGATGTGATTTTCATTTAATGTACCTAAATGCTCTTTCATAGCTTGGTAAGCTATACTTGGCATATTAAGAACTCTGTATAAGCCAAAAACTGGGGCATTCAAGTTCAATCTACTCGGCCTGGACCATGCCAGTTTGGTTGCAATTATCCTTCATAAAAAATAAAAGTTATCAAAGAACTGAAATTTCAAGACAATCAGTGTGGCAGCTTGTTTAAAACAATGGAAACTTCAAAGCTTGCAGCAAATGCTGAACTCTGAAGTTCTACTGCTTTCCATTTAACTAGCATCAAGCTTTTTCATTTCAATAGTTGAAGCAAACAGCTTCAAAGAATCATGGATGACAGCAATTTTCACCTTCTCCCAGAAGATATGAGTTGAAGGGACAATTATGAGGAGGCCAGAGATTCATTTTTGTTGTGTTTTTTATGATGGGGACCTTACAGTATTCAACATTAACAAGTTGGTGAACCCTCTAGTTTCATTGGGCTGGACCTTCATCTTCAGAAGAGTTTTTATGATAGTGGCCCAACTTTGACTCCATGAACAAACCTCTGCATCCTTTTTTGTCCTAAAAATCTCTTTATCCTATTTTATCCATTTTAAAGTTTCCAACTTTTTTTCAATACACTCACACATCACACCAGTTGTCTTCCCATTTCAGTCTTTTTGAGTAAAAAGAGTGATGAACGACCTCTCCTATGCAGCTGTAAGCGAACACCAAACTAGTTTCAGTTGCAAACCCATACCAAGGTTAGCTCTTTTCAGCCTTCTAACTCTTTCCCTCATCAGTCTATTTGTCTCCATTTTCATTCTTGTTGTGGTCCACAACGCTGCTTTCCTTCTCTCTTTCCTTTTGCTATTAGCTCTGGTCGCTTCTTTCTTAGCTTGGAACGCTGTTAACTGGAGACATCACAACAGATCTGCTTTCTCTTTCTTCATTAACTCTTTACCTGACTCTGATCTTCGACTCGCACGTGAAGGACAGCTCGTGAAGATCACTGGGGTACTTTCATTCCAAAAGTTTCAGTTTTTATTGCCTTTTGTATGTTGCATTGTGTGGGTTCCTTGTAAGTTTTCGTGGGGTTCCATTTTGTTTCTCAGAATTTATGGAGCATTAAGGACTTGAGTGCAATTAGTTGTTCAATTTATTATTTACAGTTGCCCTTTGTTTTTGTTCATTTCTTAGGTAGCATCATGTGGGAGTTTATCTTTGGAAACCTCATATGAAAGGGTTGCCAGATGCATATATGCATCTACCCTTCTCTTTGAATATGGACAATTTGGTCTGAAACCGGTTAATGTCAAAAGATCTTGGTTCCAATGGAACCTGGCATATTGTGAGGTATGTAAGTCATGCCACTGAAGTATTGTCCTTCTGCAAGCTATGAGTCTAAGCATATATGTGTTCTTGTTGAATTGAATCGGAGCCATTTTGCTGCATTGGTCCAATTGTCCTGATTTTGTGCTGATTACTTTCTAAATCTTGAAATGCAGCTAAATTTGAAGATTGATCTTAGCATTTTATCACCTTGGAACTCGATGATTATTAGAGCATAGCATACTCTAAGATTAACTAGTCATTATATGCATTACTCTAAGATTTTGTGGTGATAGGTTGCCTGTGCTATATTAGTCAGATTGTATGTGATTCTTGAATATGCTGTCCAAATCAATAACATGGTTTATCAGACTTATGTTCTGCTGTTCTTGATATGGTACTCGGTATACCATGGCGGTTCTTCGCCTTCAACATGTTTATTCTCTGCCTTATCCTGAATCTCTACACTATGGTGTCTGTAGCAGACATGTTTATGTTAGAGTTATTTATTTCGCTTGACTTTATTTTTCGTTATAGAGGTTTTCTACAGATTTCTATATTACCGATCGCAAATCCGGTATAAGAGCTGTGGTAAAAGCCGGTTCAGGATGTAAAGTTATCCCCTTGATCATCGAGAGCAAACTCGTCACCACCACGAATCAATGCAGAGTCCTATCTCCTCACCTAATCAATTGGTTACGAGAACGAAACCTTTCTGGAGATGTCCGACTGCTACGTCTCGAAGAAGGGTAACCCACTTATACAACATCAATCTCGAATCCCTCGCTACTTCAGCCTATGCTAGCTTAAAACACTTACAACCTGCAGATTTGAATGAGCTTTTGCAGGTATGTACAGGAAGGCAACACGGTGACTGTAACTGGAATGTTGCGAAAAATTGACGACGTTCTAATGATTGTTCAACTGCCCGAGCTTGTATCCACAGGATGCTTATGGCGACGGTTACTTCTCCCTGTCGATGTCGATGGTCTGATACTGGCCCCCGGAGGTTCCTGATACATAATAACCCTGCCCTTAACCTCTCAATGAATTCCATTGGACACACAGAACAGTAATGTCTGACATATTCATAGAAATATTTCTAGGCAACAAGAAGGTATTGGATGGTGATAATTGATAAAGGCTAATTTGAAAAATAAATTGAGTTTCGGAATTTTAAGCCTAAAGTTTGTGTTTTTTTACCCTTCCAATTACTTTTCCAATGGTAAGATAAAGTTACTGTCTGGTGAAAGTTTCAAATTGCAAAACGTGTTACCATTATAGGACTGTATTGGGCCTTAGTCCAACTTTTGATTCGGGTTAGACTTATAGTTTGGACATTAATCGGGTTCAAACCCATTAGATTTGGGAATTTTATTTTATTTTCAAGGTTACAAATAAAATTATAGTTACAATAAAAGTTGTTAATATAAATAATATGTTTTAGTATAATTATTATTAAAAATAATTATTATAATATATTTGAACAAATATGATAAAATTTACGTCAAAATTAAAAGTTTAAATATGATAAAATTCAAATATAAGACATTGAAATATCATTAAGGTTTTACTATTGAATCGAAATCTCATTAATAACTTGTAGAGTAAGTAGTTAACCCTAAATTATAAATTCAATACCCATTAGGAATAACATTTCCCTTCTTCTTTTCTCTAAGTAGAAATTGTTTTGAATTTTATTTACCCTAGAAAAAAGGTGTTGCCAACTGAATTTATTTTTTCCGCCACCCAAAATTGATGACTATTATTGGTGGTAGCAGAGTCCGAAACGGCGACTTAGCTGGCTAGATAGCACTTAGCTCGCAATAAGATTTTAGGCTAAAATATATAAATAATCTCTTAATTGTAAAATATTTTTTATTGATCATTAATTATAAAACAATTACTTAACTTTCAAAGATTTTCATATAAAGTTACACCAAGTTACAAATTTATATAAAAGAATAATAAATTAATTTAGTAAGATGATGAAATTTATAAAAGAATAAAGAATAAAAAAGGGGTTTAAATTTATAAATAATATGAAAATGGTTTAAAATTATAATTAAAATAGAGAATTGGAAGGCATGATTAGAAATTAGTGTGTGGAGAGGAGTGAGAAGCACGCGTCCAGTGTGCGCAGTGCGCCTGAATGGTCAGCAAATGGCAACGTTTTTAAGGCAAGATTACCTCAGCCACCCCATTCACTCTCAGACATCCGTGCTTCACTTTTACCCGATTCCTCTCCTTTGACTTCCCATCAGCGTGTTAGATAATCCTTTCTCTATTTACACTTTCCCCCTAAAGTTTTCATTTTTCCAGTTCACCACTCTGCTTTCCTCTTCTCTCTTTGAATTCCCTTTTTCCATTTTGTAGTTCAAGATATGGGCTCTGGAGAAAAGGTTTTTGTTTATGAAGATTTGGTCAAGCACAAAGACAGAGCTGATTGTTGGCTTTTGATCTCTGGAAAGGTTTGATTTTCTTTACATTTATGATTTGGGGTTTCCATTCTTGTATCAAACTGAGAAGAATTTGAATTTTGATTTTTTATATGTTAAAACTAGTTTATTTGTTTGTTCTTTTGCATAAAAGTTGCATCTTTGATGAAATTGAAAACAGATGGCAGTTCATAGTTGCATGTGTGTATTGATGGAAGCAATTTCATTTTAATTATTGGCTTTCTTTGCTTGTTTCCCAAGGTGTATGATGTAACCCAATTCTTGGAGGAGCATCCTGGTGGGGATGAAGTCTTGCTTGCTGCTAGTGGTAAGTTGTTCTTGGTACTCTCTGCCGACAATTACCGGCTTAATTCTACTGATATGAACAATTGATTCTACAGGCAAAGATGCTACCGATGATTTCGAAGACGTAGGTCACAGTGATGATGCAAGAGAGTTGATGAAAAAGTATCTCATCGGTGAGGTCGACAGCACCACTGTTCCCCTACGTAAAACGCTCAAACCGCAGACATCGACAACAGTAGCTCACGAACACAACAATGAGTCTGGCTTTCTGTCTAAGAAACTGCAGTTCCTGGTACCCCTCCTGATCTTAGGCTTTGCATTCGGCTTGCAATTCTTCTGGAAGAAGGAGAAAACTGAAACTTAGATTACTTTCCCGAAAAGAAACTCCCTCAGGAAAGCTGTATTTGCTGTAATAATGGCTTAGCATTGTCATTTCGAATCTGTTTCTGTTGTTTGAGACACTTTCTGTTATAAGTTTTAGTCTTCTTGCATAACATAAGCAGTAGATGTCTGCGTTATAGCCCCTTCTTGCATAACTTGTATTTGCGACATGTTGGTGTATTTTCATGTTTCGCATTTAATGTATTATACATTTACTTGGATTTTAATGCGTTAATAGTTCATGTCATGTTGTTTAATCGTATCAAGACTAAGGTTGTTGAGTCTACATAGCTTTTAGCCTTACAGTGTTCAAGTATCTAGGCATCTCTTAAGCATAACCATCCAGTCTATGGAACTACCTGTATCTTTAGTTTCTTGATGCGAAAGAAAAGTTTTCCGTCCACCATCAAATTTCATTCCCCAACAGAGGAGCACATCCTTTGTTGGTGACCTGTTTTGATTATGGCTATTCTTGCAACCATTGAGTCTTAGGAATATAGGGTGGATTCCATATAAGTTTCCTCCAGTGTACCTTTGCTGCTCTTGGCCTGTGATCGTTCCAAGTTTCATTAATCACATGCCTCTGAGGAACAGCTTCTCCTGCCGATATCCTGAAAACCCATGCAGCCGATGTCCTTGATTTCAACAGCTTCTTCCAACTTAAGCTGTAACTTGGAGAGAAAGGTAACTGCATCAGGGCCTTTCCCTTGAGTATTTCTCGGTATCACTTGGTCATGTTGGCATTTCTTGCGATTTGCTATTCAAGAGCTTTGCTTCTAGCTTGTGATGTTATTTGATGAGACTAAGTATCCCGGGCAGCCTCGGGCATCCTAACATTGCACCCTTCCCGGGTTGTATTGGTCTACTAAATAGTTTAAATTACATTTTCATATGTTCCGACTATTTCGATATGTTTCGGTCCATTTCAATGTTACTAATACCGATTGGTATAATATTTTAAATACATCGATATCAATATGTATTAATACAAAAAGGAAAAACAAACATTGACGGGTGTTGTATTGACTACTTTAACCTCAGATTAGAGGTTCAATATGGTGTGATCTACGCCCATCCAACTTGATTCTCTCTAATTCAAGCTGTGCTCGGCTGCCAATGTTGATGTGGCCCAAGTACAAGAGACGTGATCCAAAATGCATTGGGAAATTAATTGAAATATTTAGTACAAGTTTGCCTAAACTTGCAAGGCTTTTTGCTAAAAATCCACTAAATTGGCCCAATAGGCCTTTTGGACTCCTGCATCAAATATAATTGGTTTATTATACATGAAGTTGATAATTTTCCTTAAAACCGAAGTAATATTTGAAATTTTTAAAATAAATTACTTGTTCACATGTAAACTATCAATCATATTGTTACATTAATGATATTAATATTTTAATCATTATCGATAATTTTATTAGTTATTCAAGACCAAACATCGATCCGAGTTTTTTTTTTCCTTTCTAAAGGCAATAGAAATGAATATAAACTCTTGAACCTTAGCCAAACGTCCAATTCCATTTATGATCTTTTGTGGATAAATAATATAGTTACAAACAGTGGGGTTATGACAAAATCTTTTAGGAAATGCTGCTTAAAAAAACCTCGTAAGCATAAACTGATCTGCTGTAATGGCGTTTTTAGTTAATTGCAGAAGAAACAAATATGTTTGTTGGATTTTGATTGGTCCCTTTTCTTCTTACCTTATTAATTAATAGTTCGTTTAGTTTAAGACTGGTCTTATTTAATCTGCGGAATAAATTATTAATTTATATAATAGGCAATGAACCAGTCATCAGGTCCCCTGTCGTCAGCCGGACATAAGCACACAAAAAAGTTACTGTGGATGATTCACAACTCAGTGACTCACCTTCCACACTCTTTAAAATAAATAACCTAATTATCAGATCAATCCTTTTAACGTATCAGCCAAGTATAAATATCAAAATGAATAAAGGAAAAAATTATTAGTATTAATTAAGTAATTCTTATTTATTATATTTATTTTTTTGTTAATATTGACGTTGTTTATTTTTTACTTTTAATAATAATATTTACTTATATCTATCAAATTTTTTTAGTTTTTAATTAGTTTTAAAAAAAAATTTCTTCATACAATTCTATTTTAATACATAGTAGTTAGTTTGTGTACATGGATAATTATAAAAAATATGATTGATTGACATGATTTAATCTATCGTGATATATATATATATATATATTGTAATTTTATTATATTTATTTAATAAGATTAACTATTATTATTAATTAAAAATTTAAACTCTAGTAAATGTCACTGACTAAATATTGAATTAAAGTAGAGGTTGAAATCAATTTGAACACGTATTTGCTCTGATTAGGAAGATGATTTGCGAGCAAAGGTGAGTAGGATGATGTGATGCGGGCAGATACTGTATGCCATATCTAAATGTTTTGTGGCCAAGTTTTAGGGTTTAGGTTTAGCCTTGTCATCAACAAATTTTAACCATGTTTTTAATTGGACAAATTGTCATTTGAACCCTTGTCATTTTAATCATGTTTTTTTAATTGTAACTAAGGTCAACATTAGCAATGTAATTAACGTGCTTTGATTTGACATCCGCCCCACTAATAGAATTAAGTAACCATCGGATGCGGTCAGGAGGTGGAGTCGATTACAGTCGACGGTGCCAGAAAGAGAGGACGACCAAGACGGAAGTGGGAAGACTGCTTAAGATTTGATTTAAAGGATTTAGCCCATACTGAGGACATGACCTCTGATAGGAAAGTATGGAGACTTAAGATCAGTGTATCTGAGTAGTACAAATCACATCCATAGGGTATATCATCTCTGTCTTCTTTTTATGCATTTGTAGTAATTTCCATGACTTCTTCTTTTTATACGTTTCTGTCATTGGAATTTATGAAGGCTTAGAACTACGGTAGCGGAGTAGTGTTGCTTTAGTTTAGGTTTTAACACGTTTGACTTTATTCCTTCTCGTTGCTTGCTATTGTTGAATTTTGTGTATCCTTTACTTCAAGTTTTGCTCTTTTTAAATATTAGTCGGGTCTTACGTTTCTGTCTATATGCAGAGATTTTTATGCAGGGATTACTTCACATTTCAGACGCACATATGTAGAGTGCATATGAAGACTGTTCAACTATTTATTTATTTATACATGCATGGCATTTTTATCTTTACTTTTAATTTTTCTAACTGCCGGAGGTCTTCCACGGAAGCTGCTCTCAATCTGATATTGGGGACAGCCTACTACCCTACCTCCCCTTATCCCATTGCATATGAGAATAGGGTTTTGTTATTGTTGTTGTATCTATTCGTAATTTACACGTACTTGAATAGGTCTCCTCTACTTAAAAAATTTGTTTGGAGGAATTAAGATGGTAACGCCTCTACCTACCCCTTGGCCTTCAAAATTTATTCTTGCATAACATTGACTTTAAATTTCTTTATGAGTAGTCTATTAAAATAATAATAATTTCTTGAAATATTTTCAATATTAATATCAAGTATTGAAATTTTCACATATAATAAATATTAACATATATCTATATAGCTGTCAATAGTAATATATTATTATTAACATATTGAAAACCCCTAAATTCAATTTAGATGTTACGATCAAATCTCATAAATCACAACAATTTAAATTAATAGAAGACATAAAATTTTCCGAGTTCTTTTATAAATATTATAACCCCAAACAAATTCAAATTATAACACTGGTGACTGAAAATCTATATAACTCAAAAGTATAATTCGAGTTCTCATAAAATAAAACAATGCAAGTTAAAAACGAATTCAAAAACTCCATAAAACAACACAATGTCTCAAAATCCCAAACACACAAAAAAGCCAAGTTTGATAGAAAATTGTACAAAGAGTTTAAGTTTGAAAATGTTCATACAATATCTAACAAGATAAGGTAACATTCGGTCTTTCAAGTACCAGTCGAAGCCCAAAAGATAAGAGAAATCTAAAAAATCAAATTAAAATGTGTGATATAAGGCTCAATGTGTCCTCTAAGTACAACAAATTTTCATTACAAAACATATATAACTTTGTGGTGACATAACATATAATATACAATTTAAACAATAGTAAAATCAGTTATTTATTATCAGAATATCATGATAGAAATTCTTACGATCTTACCTTTCGTTGCAGATAATCAGGATGGAAACGTTACCCTTCGAAGAGAAACCCAAATAGAAAACGGGAAACATGATGAAGACGTTACCCTCCAAAGATGAACCCATAACAAAAAAACATGAAATAAGATGAGACATTACTCTCGAGGAAGAACCCGACTGTTTCGTAGATAGTCTCAATGCAGAAACTTACACTAACGTACAAATTATAAATAATATAACATTAATGAAGAATCACATAACCCAGTGTAATATACAATAGGAACACAAAACACATTATGGAAAAGTAAACATATAATACAAATCAAGGAACACACTTATATCAGATAAATAACATCAGCTAAGAATTATGTTTTTCACTATTGGTAGTACTTGGTCCTACGAGATGAGAACCTAACAATAACATAGTACTATGTGAGTACCAAAACAATATATCTAAGCAGAAATAGACTAGTAATTCATCAAACAACACTCACTCTATCTAGAGTCGAACGTGCAGAATATGCTATATATATATTACTCTAATTTAGATGTCATTCGTGATGTCATTCGTGATGTTGATATTAACAAGCTCGAGCCTTGGGATATTCAAGGTATATATATTACTCTAATTTATGTTCCATTTTGCTATATGCTTGTTTGTGACTTTAATTTCTATAATAGAGAGTTGCAAGATTGGAACCACGCCTCAGAACGATTGGTACTTTTTCAGCCACAAAGACAAGAAGTACCCCACCGGGACTCGCACCAACCGCGCCACAGCTGCTGGATTTTGGAAAGCAACCGGCCGCGACAAGGTCATAAATAGCAACTGCCGGCGGATCGGGATGAGGAAGACTTTGGTGTTTTACAAAGGTCGGGCACCTCATGGTCAAAAATCTTATTGGATCATGCACGAATACAGACTAGACGATAACACCGTTGAAATCAACGTAAGCCTTTAAACCTCAAATCCTCTTCTCTTGGTAAATGTTACGTCACATTATAT